CAAACGAAAGAAAACCAGTAAGCTGAAAAAGACACTCATGCTCTGAAACAGAATATAAACAAACAGCATTTCCTTGGCAGTTACAGTTACCATAAATTGATATGGTAAAAGGACAATTTCTTCATCTGAATTAAAGGGTATGTCTACACTACAAAGTTAGTTCAAACTAACAGACGTTAGTTCGAACTAACTTTCATAGGCGCTACACTAGCGCTCCGTTAGTTCGAATTTAATTCGAACTAACGGAACGCTTAGTTCGAACTAGGAAAACCTCATTTTACGAGGATTAAGCCTAGTTCGAACTAGCTAGTTCGAATTAAGGGGTGTGTAGCCCCTTAATTGGAACTAGTGGGAGGCTAGCCCTCCCCAGGTTTCCCTGGTGGCCACTCTGGCCAACACCAGGGAAACTCTTCTGCCCCCCTCCCGGCCCCAATGCTCCGCTCCCTTCTTCAAAGAGATGGCAACACCCTCATGGTGTTGTCCATCATCTCGTCCAGAACACAGCAACATTTTCTCCTGAGGCTGTTGTCAGTCTTCCTGATCCTGTCCATCTGCTGTCTCTGACACCCCAGCTGTGTCAGCAGTAGCATCTCTTCTGTGACCTGGCCTAGTTTCCCTATATCAGAATTTGTACCTCCCAAAAACCAAATTTGCTTTTTGTCATGGTGTTGAGCATTTGTCTTTGTGTCAGTGGCTTTCATTAATTAATTAATTATACCCCCACCCTTTAAAGCTTCAGCTACTCCTTTAAATTTAAATTTCTAAAAACTAGGGGTCAGGGTGAGACTTTCCTGGGGGATGGCTTACCCCACATCTGTTCCTGAGGGTTTCCTGCTCCTTTCTCTGCAGACCTGGGGCTGACCATTGCCAAAGACAGAGGCCTGACTGTTGAAATGGTACATTTTCACTTAGGGTACGTCTAGACTACATGCCTCTGGCGACAGAGGCATGTAGATTAGGCTACCCGACAGAGTAAAATGAAGTGGCGATTTAAATAATCGCCGCTTCATTTAAATTTACATGGGATGAGGCATACCTGGGTTGTCGACAACTCCCTTTGATGTCGGCAGGGGAGCGTCCAGACTATCGCGCTGAGCCGACAAACAGCTGATCAGCTGTTTGTCGGCTCAGCGCGATAGTCTGGACGCTCCCCTGCCGACATCAAAGGGAGTTGTCGACAACCCAGGTATGCCTCATCCCATGTAAATTTAAATGAAGCGGCGATTATTTAAATCGCCACTTCATTTTACTCTGTCGGGTAGCCTAATCTACATGCCTCTGTCGCCAGAGGCATGTAGTCTAGACGTACCCTAAGTGAAAATGTACCATTTCAACAGTATTTCGACCATGTTTTCTCTGACAGCAGCCGGCACCAAACTATTACCCAGAGATATGGCATTATCTTGTGTTCTTTGCTATACTGGCCTCATTTGCATTTTGATAGGAAAAGGTGAAATGCTGACCTGGGTTATCTGATGCTGCGAGTAACAGTGATTTATGAAAACACAAGGATTGTGAACATTTCACATTGGTATGGACTAGTAGCTATAAGAAAAAAACAACTATTGCTGACTTCCAATTTCAGTAAAGCGACCAAATGCACATTATGCATTAATGAATGTTCCCCCCCCCATATAAATCTTATGTATGTTAACATGCAAAAATTATAGCTGAAAATGCTCCAGTCAGAGATGCATTTTAATTAGTTGGCGGCAGCTGCCAGTGCAGGGGAAAGACACAAGAGAGGAGAAGTTGGTATTAATTACCAACAGACTGGTGACATATTTACAAGATCTAAAATATGCCAGGGAGGGGGGATAGGGGGAAAGAATAATGTAGCACCATGCTATTTACCATTGTTAGAGAGCAACACACAAAATGGTGAATCCTCTGCAGTTCTAAACAAAAATATTTTCCACCTAGTGTTAGCAGGGAAAAATAAAGAGCTTGTTTTTGGCCATGTTGAGCCACACTGGCCATGTTCTACCTATGAATGATTTAAAATATATATTTATATCTAGGGTGTTTGTACTGCTGGTGCACATCCACACACAACATCAATATTAGAGTTGCACAAAAAAAAATGCAACCCGCCTAAGGACTGAAAATGTTAGAAGGAACACCGGTGCACAAAATTCATTCTGCACATGCATGGGAAACACTGAGACACAATGTTCCCTCTAATATCGCAACTTCATTTCACACAGGCTGAGAAGCACATGCTAAGTAGCTGCATGCTGGAGGCAAGACTATGTTTTTAAGCTGAGCAGTCCGAGTGTGTGTGGGTATTAGAATGTTTAACTGGGAAGCTTACGAATTGCAGTTCTGCATGTTCATATTGCCTAAAATTTGCTCGTATAGTAATTCTATTGAAGTACTTGAGTTATCTGGCCTGTAACTAAGTTAACTAAGATTTTTTGGGTGGATAAGAGTAAAGTAAACTCTTCTCATTATAAACCCTTCCTATAAACATCTGATGATACTGAAGAAGTCAGATGTAACTTTTTTTGGTAACACTGATGATACTAACAGTAAATTTAGGGGGAAACAAGATTTTTTTATGTCAACTGCATCAAAGTCTTGAATTTATGGTTTAATAGGATGAGCTTTCTTAAATCCAGAGGTAGTAATCTAACTTTGTACAAGGTGACAGAATATACATTATTTAGAATACAGAACAGAAGCTTTGCAGGGAAGTTGGTGAATCATTGCAGGAATTCATTATTCTCTTTTGGAAAATCAACCAGAGACTCATGAGTTCCTGAAAATAGTGCAAATGCTTGTTAATACATATTTTAGCAGCTGTGAGAACCCATGGTGAGATGCATTAATGAAGTTGTGTTTGCTCCCAATAACAACCTCATTGACACCTGTCAGCATCGCAGGACTTTATGGCTTGCTTAGTGGTTTATTATTATCAGCACATGAATTTCAACCTGAGAAACAAATCATGCTTCAGGTTTCTCAGAAGCTAGATACTCCTTAAATGAAGTCTTATTAATAGTATTTTTTATTCATTCACAAAAGTATCACATCTTCCTCCAGATAAGTGGCACAGCCATGAGTACACGCATGGCCCCACAGTACGCTAATATCTTTATGGCTGACTTAGAAAGTTTCGTCAACTCCCTTCCCCTTTACTCCTTCTCTACTTATGCTACATCGATGACATCTTTATGATCTGGACGCATGGCCAAGAAACACTGGAGACATTCCACAGAGATTTTAACAACCTACATCCCACCATCAATCTCAGCCTGGACCAATCTACACGAGAGATCCATTTCCTGGACACCACAGTACAAATCAGCAATGGAAAATTAGACACCACTCTCTACAGAAAACCCACATGCCTCCAGCTCCCATCCAGAACACACCATACGATCCATCATCTATAGTCAAGCCCTTCGATACAACCGCATCTGCTCTAATCCCACGGACAGAGACCAGAAACTTCAGGATCTCTACCAAGCATTTATAAACCTCAACTACCCACCCGGAGAAATAAAAAAGCAAATTGAAAGAGCCAGATGAATACCTAGAAACCATCTACTTCAAGACAGACCCAAGAAAACCAACAATGGAACACCACTTGTCATCACCTACAACCCCCAACTTAAACCTGTCCAACACATTATCAATAAACTACAGCCTATATTGGAACAGGATACCATACTCAAAGAGGCTCTGGGAGACAGACCCATAGTCTCCTATAGACAACCACCTAACCTCAAGATCATTCTTACCAACCACCACAGGACATACCACACTAATACCAACCCTGGTACCTTCCCTTGCAACAAACCCCGTTGCCAGCTTTGTCCACATATTCATTCTGCTGATACCATTATTGGACCCAACCAAGTGAGTTATAAGATCAAGAACACATATCCCTGCGCATCCAGAAATATAATCTATGCTATCATGTGCCGAAAGTGTCCGTCTGCTATGTACATTGGACAAACATCTCAGACACTTCGCCAAAGGATTAATGCCCACAAAACAGATATCAGACAAGATCACAAAGAGAAAACAGTTTCTTGCCACTTTAACCAGAAAGGACACTCTCTAAATGACTTAGCCACCTGCATTCTGCTACAAAGACCTTTTACATCTGCACTTGAAAGGGAATCCTCTGAACTGTCATTCATGTTAAAATTCGACACTTACCAACAAGGACTTAACAAGTCTTTGAACTTTCTCACCCATTACCAAGACAGTTTCCCCAATTATCACCTGTAATACCATTAACTCACAAACATCCCACTCTCCCTACCTTTAATATCAGCAATTCACAGACACTTACCTTCCTTCCTCCCCCTTCCCACCCCCCCGCATCCCCCTTCTGTTCTGCAATGTGATTTGTCCTTTTCATATTTGTTCATTTTTTTAAATTGTATCCTTTGGTATATATGGTTGTGACTACTTTCTTCCACTATTTGATCTGAGGAAGTGGGTCTGGCCCACGAAAGCTCATCATCTAATAAACCATCTTGTTAGTCTTTAAAGTGCTACATTGTCCTGCATTTTGCTTCAACTACCCCAGGCTAACACGGCTACATTTCTATCACCAATCTGGAGGGGCCATTACAAAGATAGCTTCCCCAATTATCACCTCTAATATCATTAACTCACAGACATTTACCTTCTCCCCCGCCCCCCCCCCATCCCACTTCTGTTCTGAAATTTTATTTACTTTTCATATGTGTTCATTTTTTTAATTGTATCCTTTGGTATATATGGTTGTGACAATTTTCTTCCACTATTTGATCTGAGGAAGTGGTCTGGCCCACGAAAGCTCATCACCTAATAAACCATCTTGTTAGTCTTTAGAGTGCTACATAGTCCTGTTTTTTGTTACATCTTCCTGCGGAAGTGAAGATAGTTGTATGCGTAAAACAGACATTTTATAGCAGCCATATGCTGGGTGAAATCTTTTAATGTGTGGTCACAAAATCCTTTTGAGAGGTAATATGCTACTTTTAATGTTACACTTTTACCTCTGGTGCAATGTAGTCTGGAGTGCCACAGAAGGTCCTGGTTGTTACTCCATCTGTCATATTTTCTTTGCACATTCCAAAATCTGCTATCTTTATGTGTCCTTCTGAATCCAACATCACATTATCTAATTTCAGATCCCTATGAAGAATCACAGTCATTTAATATTAATACTTATACCATGTAGGTCACCAAAATGTTGTCTCATATAAGTTTAATTAATGAATACTGTATCTATAGAATTTCAGATTTCTTATCTTCCATGCATGATTTTTTTCCTCTTCAGAAGTATATTTGAAACGCACCACACCAAAAAATTATTAAAGCAAAAGAGTTACATTCATCCATGTGCAAAGCAGTAAAAAGAACATCCTGCATTAACTTGATTTTCACAGTCATTCATAAAGTGTTTGGTATCATCTTTAAGATGCCGCCTTAAAAACAGGAAGTTTTTTAATCCAAGAGTACTATATCTCAATTACACTGATGCTGTAGATTATAGCAAATACAAGCACACACAAACACATTTGTCCTCCCCCCGCACCTTTACATAAACACATTTCTTTAGGACACATGAATATGTACAATGCAATGAGATTATAACAAAGGTTTTGGACACCAGTGTTTTCAATTGAATGCCACATATCAAAGACACAGTCACCCTTCGTTAAAGAAACATCACCAGCAAAATAATGACGTTTAGTTACTAACACCATTTTGACTACTTGTTATAGAAACATGTTTTAAAATACAAACACATCTGTCTTTCCAGGGTTTTAATAGGAATGACTTAAGTCAGTACTCACCTATAAACAATTCCTCTTTTATGGAGAAAGAATAGACCCACTGAAATCTCAGCTGCATAAAACCTGTAAGAACAGAATTTCAGTTTTCTTATATTTCTGCAGAGGATAATCATACATAGAAGATATTTGAAACTCACCACACCAAAGAATTAAAGCAAAAGAGTTATTGTATTCATGTATATGCAAAGCATTATAAAGAACATCCCACATCAACTTGATTTTTAGTCACTGATAAAATGTGATATTATTTTGACAAAACAGGATTAAAAAAATTAGGCATTTTTTAATAAATTAAGAACCATATGATTATTACATGGCATTTATGTGGGACCTCATCTGACTGAATAGGTCATTGCTCTCAACACCTGATCATATCTGATCATTTATGACTCATAATATTGCTTAATTTAAATTGTGATTCATACATCATTAAAATAACATAAAAAATATTGTTCCTTTATACATATATTAATGGATTAATTACTGTATTTGAAGTTAATTGAAGTGACTGCCATATACAATGTACGGTAATTGCCAAAAGTAGTTTGAGTATATAGAACACTGATGAGTTTTTGAAGCCAGAGTTACTGCAGAACTGCCAATTACACGCAAGGCAGCCAATAAAAAACAAGATTGATTATTAAGTTTAATAAAAAGTAGAAGGCAGAGTAGACCTGAAAAAGCTGGTTCAGAATTGCTTTTACTCTCTTTGGAACATGTGCCAACACAGACCTTGGGGACGCTCTCATACTGTGTGTAATATCATAGCTACACATAAGTCTATGGAACTGTGGCAATATATACCAGCTACAAGTCAATAGAGATATGCACATTTTCATGCACTGAGGAGTTAAATCCTGAGATGTCTCAGGTTTTTATTCAGTATTTCGCCAGGTCATATTTACCTCAGTCATCTTTTGTGTGTCACACATTTTAAATTTAAGTTTTTTAATGACTCTTACTTGACTACTTAAATCATGTTTAGCCAGTTTCAAACTTTTTTACATCTATTTTTTTTTTTTGCATTTTTAAAAACAGGAGAGGTCGCACGTAAATGAAGGTTTAATGGAAAATGTTGATAAAGGATTAATGGATAGTAAAAGCATGCAACAAACTTGAGCAGTATATTTTAAAGAAAAGCACAGAAGAAGGTGATAGATGATTAGCAACCTATTGATCTGTTGCATTTATAACTACTGATTAACTATTTATTAAAACACCTATTAATATATTAAATCTTTTAAAACTTTCTATAAATTGAACCTTAATATAAAACATGGCCACAGACTATCACTAGATATGCATAAAATTAAGATTAATTATATTGTAAATGCTGAATCAGTTTCTTGTGTCTCTCACAATATTGTTCATTTAGTGTGAATGTTAATAACCATATTGTAAGTAAAACTATTTACTTGTTCAAAAACTTGTCGACGTTGATTTTTTTTCCCCAAGTTAAGCTATCTCCTGCAATATGTGCTGCGTGCTTATGCCAGCAGGCCCACAAAGTTTCTATTATTAGTGGATAAAAAGATGACAGCCCCAATTTCTATATAATACTGTACATAATGGACACATCTGATCCTTCTGCTGCAGTATAAAATTGGTAATGATTTGAATTAAATCAACAAACACTCACACTGCCTGTGGCTCCTTAAATTTTCCTACTTGCTGAATGTGATACATGAGGTCACCACCATTCACATACTCCATAACAAAGTACAGACGATCCTAGAACATAGTATTAAAAAGGTAAGCACATGAGGCATAAGCAGCGATGTACTGGTAAAACGTATTAAAAAGAGTGACATATTCAATAGTAGAGGTCACGACTATAAAGATCATACAAAACAACTTTAAAGAGTGTGTCTATATATTCTGCACATTATGACAAAAAATGTTATACATCAAGAAACAGAAAAAAATTATATATAGATTTTGCCAGGTCAGGGCTAGGTTGGAACTTCATTCAACCTTGCCTATATTAGCGATGAAAGTTTATTTATTATTACTTGTATTGCTACAATGTTACAAATACTGTTCATACAGCCAGGAAAACATAACTAAGGCCAAGAGCTCATGTTTTTTAAGACAGCATAGATGCAGCTTCCTTATCTTAGGGGTAACCAGGGAACCAAATTAACCATATTAATTAATAAATATCTCATTATATTATTGATGCATTAAGGCCTCAATCCAACAGAGCACGTAAGCACATGCTTTGTTTTAATTATTTGAAAAGCCCCACTGACACAACCGAGTTCATATATACAGAAAAAAAACCTTTCTGTATCAAGAGCTGCTGTAGAATACTTCTGAAGATGTATTATTATTATTATTAATTATTATTATTATAAAGATCTTCTTTATTATTTTTATGGATTTTGATGATTTGACAGGGTATCTGTTCTTTTACATTTCTCTGAGCAAAACACCCAGGAGACCTGCAAGTTGAGGATAATAAATGTTGCTGAAATAATAAAATATATCAGAGTGTTATCTCAGTAGAAGATGACACTCTGAAAAAAACGGAGGAGCAGAGAAGAAATGACACCACGTACAACTGTTTGAAAGCAAGAATGCAGCTGTGTTAGGAACGGCGGCTTATCCTGCAGTGCTAGGACTCGTTTCTCAATCATGGTACATTCCACATCATCATCCTGAATCACCACATCTTTTTTCAATATTTTGATTGCATACAGCTCCTCCGTCCCCTTCCTGTCTGCCAGCATCACCTGCACAAAGAGAAATGACAGACTGAACATGTTCCTCCCTGGCAGAGAATAGAGGTGACTCATAAGCCTGGAGAAAGGTGTTAATGGCACACCAACCTCCCATTTTACTGGCACTTACTGAGTTGGCCTGAAGCTCTAAAAATACCATGATTACTCACTGATTACAATAAGCTGTACTTGCACTTCAAAAATAGCATTTACACTCACACCCGTGCCACTGCTCCCTAGATAATCGTCAACTCCACTTCCAATGGCGGACACAATGACAGGACCCCCCCCACTAGAGGTCTTCCATAAAATACACTTTTATTGCAAAGTCACCTGTTAAAACAGGCAGGAAAACAGCAATACTTTTGGGAGGTCACAATTTTCACTGAATTTCTCATTCCCAAATATTAATTCCTACTGCATGATGACAACATGCACAGATGGCCTTGTGATCTATACAGCAGCTCATCACCACCACGAAAGACGAGCCCAAATCTCCTAGAACTTTGGGAAACTCCAGATCTGGATTCCTGATCCCACTACTACATGGAAATCCTGGAATTACTTAAAAGCATTTAATATTGAGGTCCTCCATGTTTTTAAACGTGCAACTTAAAGCATCCAAGTTTTGCAACTGAGTGCTGATAGGAGTGTCTAGAGCAGTGGCCACCAACCAGTAGATAAGGATCTACTAGTAGATCTTGGAGCCTCTGACGGGTGATCCTAACTGGTTTGGCCAAGAGGCTGTCAAGTGACGACTCTTCAGCTGCCCCTCCCCCCATTGCTGCTCATCTTCTGCCCCTTGCCTTGGAGCTCTCCCCTCAGGAGCCTCCTGCTTGCTAGGCAGGGCAGGGGAGGGAGGGGCAGTGCTGATGTCAGGGTACTCCCTCTCGCCCTCTGTATCCTATCTCCACAGAGCAGAGAGGGGGCACCTCAGGACTTCAGAGGGAGTTTGCTGGCTGCTTTTGGGAGCAGTGCAGGACCAGGACAGGGGTGAGCCTGCTTTAGTCCCACTGCACCCCCACCCAGGAGACATCTGAGGTAAGCAGTGTCCAGCTGGAGTCCACATCCTGAAACCCTACCCCAGTCATGAACCCCCTCCTGCACCTCATGCCCCTTCTCTAGCCACGAGAAACCCCTGCATACAAACACCCTCCCAGAGCCAGAACCTAGAACCCCCTCCAGTACCTCAAATGCCTACCTCAAGCTCAGCTCAGAGCCCCTCTCACACTCCAAATCCCTCAATTCAAGATCAGAGCCTGCACCCCAACTCTCTGCCCCTGCCTGGTGAAAGTGAGGGAGAATGGGGGAGGGAGGGAGAATGGAGTGAGCAGGGGCGGGGCCTTGGAGAAGGGGCACAAAGGAGGGGGGACAAGGATATTTGGGTCTGAGGTAGATCTTGGATTGAACTTAAATTCAAAAAGTGATCTCGTGCTTAAATAAGTTGGAGACCACTGGGCTACAGGCATAAACTAGGCATCTCCAGACTTAAGTGGCAGGTCCATACTTAAGCAATAGATACACAATTTGAATGTCTATTATATCACTCAGGCTTGAAAATTAGCCCGAAAAATAGAACACCAGGACAGCTGACGGTCCAATTCCGGACATTTCATACAAAGGAAAAAATACTCATACCCATCCCAAGTTTTCATAGATAATTATCAGTACAAAAGAAATATTTTAATACGTATGAAAATCTTCTACTGCAAGGGTCGGTCTTCAGTGCTCGTTAGTGCAGGTAAGAAAAATCAAGATAATAGTACTTGTACACAAGGTTCCCTCTAAGATGCGCAGCAGCACAGCCCCACAGCTGTTTAATGAGCCCCACCCAAGGGCTCAGGGCTGCGGCACACAGGAGCTACCTGGCTAGGAGTGGGGAACCCCTCTCTCAGCTACAGCAGCAGCTTCCTGCTAAAGACAGACCAGCGAGTCTCTCCCATCCAGTAAGGGTGAAACCTTGCTTGCATAGTAAGTAAAGACTGGGTTTAAAAATGGAACCTCTAAAATCTGCGGCAAATATACACAATGGCATTTTCTTGCTCTTTATTTCATAGATTTTAAGGTGGGAAGAGTTCAACTAATCTGTATGTCTGAACAGCACAGGCCTTGGATTTTTATGCAGGGATTCCTGCATCTAACCCTACAATTTAAGGTTGAAATAGACAAGATCTGTTCAAAAAGACAGCCACTCTCAATGTAAACTTTCCAAATGATGGAGAATTTACCACATCTTGGCGTAATCTGTTCCAATGGTTATTTAGTCTCACTTTAAAAAATTCTGCATTTTATAAAGAACTGTTCATAGCAGGACAATTTCTATTATTAAAAATATGGCAGGTAGAACTGACTTTCAAGGTTTCTTACCTTTCCAAAGCTTCCTTTCCCAAGCACCATGAGAAAATTGAAATCTGTCAGCTCCACGCTGTCCAGATTATTGGATGGTATGCTGGAAATTCTGTCTTCTACTGGAGTAATGACTTTGTTACCAGCTGGCCCAAGTTTGGCTTTCTAAGGAAGGAAAGAATATTGAAGTGAGAAGTGTAGCTTGGTTACCCAGTAAAATGAAAGATTGGAAGAATGATGTTCAGTTGCAGATCAATAAGTGGAAGGTGCATTCTCAGGAGAAAGGCTGCATGACAAAAGCTGCACAGACACAAATTAGGACTCAATCCAAAAACACTTTTGGAAACCAAGTGGTAAACTGTGTATGTGGCTAACTAGATAAAGGCAGCTACAGTTATCTGGTTAACAGACCAAAATCAAAGCAAAAACTGAACAAAAAAATCACTGTTTTCATGCCAAAAGCAGGCCAATATGTGATTTTCGTTTTTAAATGTAAAGGGTGCTCTTTATAAATGTCATGCTGTAATGTTGCTAGTGTACTTTTATAAGAAAAAAACCTGCTTCTATAGATTCTTAAAATGTCATATGCAAGTTCACTCTTCATAGCAAGAGCTTGTCTGACTTCCATTATGAAAAATAACCTCCACTTGGAAAAACCAACATAATATGACAATCAGTGTTGATGAATATGTCTACTTTTGAACTGGCATTACAATCAATTTTTTTTCCATCAAGAGTTGGGGAGGGGGGTAGGAAGGGAGAAAAACTTCTTTTATGTAGCATATGTTGGTGTGTGAATTTATGTTTTGAGGAAAGTTGCAACAATTCAAGTGAGCAAATCAAATGAGATACTGGGAATCGCATATAAGCTGCATTTCAAACCTCACAAAGTTAGGGGAAAAAAGTCAAGTTTCATCAAATGATAATAAAAAGCTGTAATAGATCCTCCTCCTCCTTTGTTTAAAACTTATTCCTCACACCAGCAGTGAAGCCAAGAGGGTCTAAAATTGGCACATGCACACATTTTAGTGTGTCCTTTAAAATACATGAAGACCCATTGTGCTGGACTATCTAAATAATCCTAAATGTTCATACTCTGCTTTGTGTTTCCAAGGCTCTTGACAAACACAGTAATTACTCCTCAACCCAAATCCGGAGGATACAATAGTTGTATATTATGATCACCATCTCACAAGGAACAAAGGTATGGAGAAGTAAGTCACTTGTCCAAGATCAACCAGTAAATCAGTGCCAAAGACTGGGTTATACCTTCTCCTGTGTGTTTCTCCCAGAAACCTGAAGATATATTCCACTCCCCCTTTATTTTAGCCATTTAATTCAACAGATATCAAACACTCCCTCACCTGTAATCATGACCATTCCCCTTCATACCTACGAAAAGCCTTTTACTCTGGGGTATATACATGATGTTTTCTGCTTATATTGATAATGGGTTTTAACATTATTATGCAGGCCTACTGCTAGGAGGAGGAGGGAAGAGGCAGTTGCCCTGGGGCCTGGCAACTCTAAGGGGGCCTGGGTTCCTTTAAATCACCGCAAGACAGTGTCGCGTCCATGGCAGCACAGAGAGCTGGCTGCTCCAGCCCTTCCAGGGGTGCAATGCCACGCTACCACACACTTTGCCCTTGCCCATGGTGGCTGTCGGCCCTGCAGTTAACACGGCATTTCCCGTTTTTTCCTTGATAATTAACTGTTTGCACGGCAGTATCACCCAGAGACACACTGAGGATCAGGACTCCATTGTGCTAGGTTCCATAAAAACACGTAGTAAGAGTCCCTGCTCCACAGACCTTGCAGACCTCTGTGCTGGTCCAAATGGATTTCAATAGGGTTTTGTGTGCGCAAAACGTCTACCTCTGAACAAGAGCTGACACAACCCAGATATTAACAGGTTGTAAAATCTTATGTTTATACAAGGTAACAGCTGTTTAATGAGATCACTTTCCCCATCTCCATTGGTCTTCTGATTATTCTGATGCAACCAATATGTTTAGGCCCCAGAAAGGGGCCTAAACAACAAAATGCTTTTATGTATAGGGCTCAGGCTAAGTATCCATTTTTGCAAAAGACAGATGAGTTCTAGCCAGACACAGCATGGGCAACACTAGAGGTTTCTACGCTGCTTTGCTTTACCAATAATATTCCCATGAGCAGCTTCTCCCCTTTACACCCAGTCTCATCTCAGAGGCTGCAGACACTATATTTCGCACGCTTATCATTTCAAGTTACTGCAAAGATTTGGGTCCATAATATTTGGGACAAAAACCTAAGGCTCACTTATATGTTAACAAATAGGTGCTTTATTAACAAATGCTCTAGCTTGTATTCCAAGAGAACTGTAAAAGGTTCATGGATAAGCTTGCGTGCCCTCTGCTGGATATTCAGCTGGATTGCAGAAAACACTAATTTTTACAGCCGGTCCCCGAGTTATGAATGAGTTACGGACCAAACACTTGGCCGTAACTTGGAATGGTTGTAACTCGGAACCCATTGAGTTACATTGTGACCGTGCTGTTCGTAAGCGCGGATCGTGTTCTTAACTCAGAGCCTGCATTTACGACCGCTTTGATCATAAGTGCGCATGGACGTAAGTCGAGATGGCTGTAAGTTGGGGACTGACTGTACTTGGTCTTGTAAAAGTTATTTCCACTCCATCTCATCTGATGAAGTGGGTTTTACCCATGAAAGCTCTACTATATATTTTTTTCCTAGACTCTAAGGTTCAATAGGACTACTCATTGTTTCTGAAGTTACAGACTAACACGGCTACCCCTTAGTTTTTTTTCTTGGTAGTAACTATGGGAAATATTTAATTGCCCAGAAAGAAACAGCCTTCAAGATAGGAAAGACTTGTTTGGTCAGCCTGGAAGAGTAGATTGATCCCTGTAATAGTTCACTGTGGCACTCCTTAAGTGACGCAAGAAGCTGTTTTCTGCAGTTGAGGATATTTTTCTTCTAAAACCAGAAAATGATCAGTATCTTATTTTGAAATAGCTATTTTGCTATTTTGAAATAGCGTGTCCACACTGACTGAACGTGGAATCGCATTTAAGGCCAGCTGGAACTGGTTCCTGCATGGCATCAGGTCAGAAGTTACCTTGTGGCCTGGGTGACCAGCAGGGCACCCTGGGAAGGGCTGGAGGCCCCCTATTTTGCAATAAACATCTACAAAGCACTTATTTCGAAATAGCAATTTCAAAATTGGCGCTACTCCTCGTGGAATGAGGTTTACCAATTTCAAAATAAGCCCTTAGCTATTTCGAATTAATTTTGAAATAGCAGTTGGCTTTTATTTTGAAATAACTTTGTGTGGTAGACATACCCTTAGTCACATATGCTTAATGTAACTATTTATTCTGGCCACAGATGGCACAATGATCTTACCAATAAAATTGGTACATACTGTAGCATTTTAGACTATTTAACTGAAAAAGCTACAAATACTCTGGGCTATTGGATGAGGAAGAAAACAAATGGACAGTGTGGGGTTAACAGGGGAAAAATGCTTGGTAACCTCAATATGCTGATGGAGACTATATCATAGAATCATAGACTACTAGAACTGAAAGGAACCTTGAGAGGTCATCAAGTCCAGTCCCCCACCCTGATGGCAGGACCAAGCATCATCTTGATCATCCCTGATAGGTGTCCATCCAACCTGCTCTTAAATATCTCCAATGGTGGAGATTCCACAACCTCCCTAGGCAATTTATCCCAGTGTTTAACCACCCTGACAGTTAGGACGTTTTTTTTTATCTAATGTTCAACCTAAACCTCCCTTGCTGCAACTTAAGCCCACTGCTTCTTGTCCTGTCATCAGAGGACAACAAGAACAATTTTTCTCCCTCCTCCTTGGAACTTGAAAGCTGCTATCATGTCCCCTCTCAGACTTCTCTTTTCTAAACTAAACAAGCCCAATTCTTTCAGCCTTCCCCCATAGGTTAAGTTTTCTAAACCTTTAATCATTTTTGTTGTTGTAAAATGCACTTAGACTACAAAGTAGAACACACAGATTTTGTAAATTTTGCCTTTTGCCTTAGCAAGAAAACGAAGGAAAAACCCTGGGCTTTCTATAAGGTTTGCAGCAGTGGTGTTTTGTATAAGGCTGCAAGTATCATCTTGCTTTGTGTGACCTACCAGGCACCAGAAATGGTATCACGGGCCTTTTAACATTTGGTCACTCCTGAAGCCAAAAAACAGTGCTTCGCTAAAAGAAAGTCCTGATCTTAGCAGTATTATCCACATTTTACTGCATCACATTCATGGAAAACTCAGGGGCAAAAGGAACAATACTGGCTATAGATACTTTGGGATTTAGACAAGTGTAAAGTAAAAACTGGTCACAAAAAGCTCCCGAACAAAAGCTGGGTCAATTGTTCACAGACCTAGATCATTCAATGGACGACATAAATCAGAGTGGCCTTAATAACCTAATGAAAGATCTGCAGTGCCCTTCCAACCTGTTGCCAACACGTTACAGTCTGTTCACACTGAACAATTAAAAAAAGCCTTCCCCATGTAGCACAGAGGAAAATAAGCACCTTTGATTCTGTTTTGTTGCCTTTTGGTTAAAACCATATCACCAGGACACGGTGAAATTTCACGGCTGGTGAACAGCTTTTTGAAGAAATGATGCAGTCACTGACTTTAACCAATCATTTCCAGAGTGAGTTATCTGTAGTGCAGCCAAACGTGAAACGTCAAGGTTCTACTGCCGTGCATTTCAACCCCTTAACGCAAACAGAAAAATGGTCTTCTTTCTTTGCTCTATTCACTGGAACTGCTAGTGATACCAAAATGAGACAAGGTTGTTTCCATGGGAACAAAATTAGAAAGGCTCTATGCAGAACCTCCAGTTTAAAACAGTAAAAACAATTTCTTTGATGAGAAATTGCACCATGAGTATAAATGGAAAGCACTAACACCTCATCAGCCCTTCACAGTCAGCTTCTATAATGTTGCGTGTGGTTAAATTTATTCTGCAGATGGGGCCAAACCAAAAGTTTTACATTTCACAGAATCAGTATCAGAATATTGTGATCACTGAAACACACTTATAATTTATTCTTGTTTATATGCACCTTAGTCAATGGATTAAAAAAAATACTCTGGAACCCTTAAATCTTGCCTTTAAAACTATGAGA